CAGCTCAGAGAGACTTTTAAAACTGATTTTTGTTTTATTGACTTCATTATTCAAACAATTTTAGGTTACAAAAATTGAATGGAAGGTCAGAGATTTCCCACATAAAGTACCCACACACATGCCTAGCCTCCCCTATTATATACCTTTCAGAGTGGAGCCATTTTTTAAAAATGATTTTTGGAGGCTGGAACTGGCTTCATTTTGGTAGTGGTTCTGGGAATGGAACACAGGGCCTCATGCATACTAGGCAAATGCTGTATCACTGCGCTACATCCTCAGCCCTTTTTATTTTTATTTAGTTATAAGGTTTTGCCAAGTTGCTCAGGCTGGCCTTGAACTTGCAATCTACCCAGCTCAGCCTCCCAAGTAGCTGGGATTGATTACAGGTGTACACCACCATCCCCATCCTGAGACTGGCCTTTGGACCATGGACACCAAATGTCCAGTAATCTTGTCCAAGGAGTTCTTGTTTGTGCCAGTGCCATTGAGGAACTGTGGTCTCAGACACAGGCAGACTCCACATCCTTGGAAGATATAGATCTGTGTGCCCTCCACTGGCATTTATTTTAAGGAATGCAGTTCATGACAAGGCAGGGGTAATAGGGCCTTGGGGACTGTACAAGGGTCTATGTGGATGTGGTTTACTAAGAATGTGCAGCAGACTGGGAAGAGGGAGAGATGCTGCATTATCTGTAAGATGAGTCTAGTGAGGTGGCTTACTCCTGTCACAATTCTCAAGGATCAGGAGGAGCATCTTTAAAAGCATCCCAGGGACTTGCCATCGAAGGCGGCAGCTCATGAGGAGAACAATGTACCAGGATTGATCTGGTGTCCCCTTGAACACTTGCTGTCCCCACAGTCTGCACTTGCAGGGAGGTGGTCCTGGGTGGTGGTTCTAAGCCAGGCTGCGAGTTCCAATTCTGAATCACCATGTCTCTGCGAGGCCTGTGTCCTGGGGCAGGTCACTACTCTGTGCCTCAACATTCCCTTCTTTAAAACAGGACGATGATGACAACAACCTCACAGAAGCACCATAACCTTAAAGAAATAGTATTTACAGAGATGGATACTTCGGAAGCACTAGACGATAAAAATTGTGATGACGATTGCAATTTGTCCAACTAACACAACACACCATAATTTGACTTTTTCTCTGCCATTCTGTGAAAACTGCTGTTGTTAAGATCACTTCCTATTTTCAAACACAGTGGCCTATTTTCATTCTTCATCTTACTTGTCCTCAGTTTTTGATTCTCTTGATCTTGTAGAAGTTCTCTTCCTTTGACTTCTAGAACAATGCCCTCTTCTAGTTCTCTTGTCCTTTTCTGGCCATTTCCTTTCTCCTTTTACTTACCCCTTTCCCAACCCTCACACTCAAAGCTTTGGGCTCCCCAGGGCTCTGATGTCTGGTATTACTGTGTTATTTCTGTGAGCTCTTCCTGCGCGATCCCTTTCCTACCCATGGCTGGGGAGCCTTGGCAAAACCCCTTTCACCTTTGCTGTTACTCCAGCCATTTCAAATCCTAACTTATGCAAAGAACGTGGTAACTATTTTTGATCACAAACTCTTAAAAAATTTCGTGGCCCTCTCATTACCCATGGATTATGGGAGCAGATTAAAAGAAATGCCTTTCACAAATGTTGAAGTCCCAAAGTTATATTTTCCCCAAGTGTCTCTTTAATTCCTTCTTCTGCGTCACTTAATGACCCACAGTACACAAAGGGGTGGGGAGAAGGATCCTCCTGATGCTTGTTCTTTCTCTCTTCTTGCAGTCCGTGGCCCACAATTCTGACAAAGCAAGTGACCTATGGTTGCAGTGATGGCTGTGAGTCTGTACCCCTTAGATACCTCCTTGCCATAACCCTACAGCCTGAGATGGCCACACTATTTCTCTTTCTTGTTGCTGCCTTGTTTTTCTGGACTCTTCTGATGCTTCTTAAGAAAAGGGAACAGTGAGGCACGTTTTTACACATTTTCAAGTATCTTTCTTTTGTCCTTTCAGTGGTTACACATAAAAATATAGATACACGATTCTGAGATAAAAAGCTGTTCATCACATTTTGAAGGGATTGCTCAATGCTGAAACAGTAGTGTTTGTTATTATGGAGAATTCGATTGCCTTTCTGAGATGCCATATTAACTGTCTCATAGCAATCTGAGTTCTGGCCCCATCCACAGACCTGACCCTTCTTCCTGGAAGCTCTGAGCATCTTCTCATTATCTCCTATCCCCAACATTATGTGTGTGTGTGTGTGTGTGTGTGTGTGTGTGTGTGAATGTATGTATATGTGTACTCATGCCATGTATTAATTATACTGGGAACTAAGTAGGTAATTCAGAGGTAGGTTTTTTATTATCCTTCTTATCTTTTCAATTCATTATTTCCTCCCCACTCTGAACTTCTTTTAATCAGAAGTTGTATCTCTGTATGGAACCTCTAATGTTCTGCCCTTTTCCTTTCTGTATATACCTCTCTTTTTTTGTTCATTAGTTTGTTTGATTTTCTGGAAGATTTCCTTGACTTTATTATCCTTCAATCTTCTTTGACTTTGAAATTTCAATGATCATAATTTCTAACTCTGATCCCTCTAATAGTTCATGTTTAAGCATCACCCTGTTTTATAGATGTGACATCTTCATTTACTTCTCTAAGGATAATAGTTTTTTTTTTTTTAAGTCATCTTCTGGTTCTGGTTTATTTCTGTTTCCTGCAGTTCCCTATCTGTTGCTTGCCTTATTCTCTCTCTCATGCTGAAGTTTTGCTGAAATTTCTGGTGATCCTGCATTGCTTCTTTGTCTTTAGGAACTGAATTCTGTACAGCTAGCAAGATGCATCTTGGTGCATGGGGTGGGATGCATCCAATGACGTGATTGTGGAGCGAGCTTGAATTTTTATGGAGTGATCCCAAATGTCAACGTCTAGGGTCTTCTAGAAACTCTCTGGAGAAACTCTCCAGAGAAGCATTCTCTGATCTCCTGGTCTGGTAAGTTGACATTGGAGTGTGATAAGCAGGTTGTGTGCAATTTTTGTTATTCTAGGAACAGGAAAAGGGGCCCAGATTCATGATCCATCTCAGCTCTCCTCTGAGCCTTTGCACTGTATTTCTCTAGGAATAAATTGCTACTCTCATGGGGTGGCAATGGAGTCATGGCCTGAGTTTCTTGCTCCAGCTCAGAGCCTCATTCCTCCTTTCTTCCTGCGTATCTTCTCCTTTGATGGCCTGGGCCTCTCAGCAGGAGTGACTCCTATCCGTAGGCCCCTCCAGTCCTTTCGTTGGTACCTCCCTACACTCTCCAAGTCACTGACCTGCTTTGACTTTTCATCTTCCGAAATGTTGTTGACATATCTTATTTCCTCTTGTCTCCTCTCTTCTTCTTCCTTTTGGTGATACTGATATTTCTTAATTTTCTTTGCATTTGAATAGCAAGGGCAAGAGGATAAAGAGCCATCCTTAATTTTTTCCTGTTTAACTGGAAATCACTGTGAAGCTTTTCAGAAAGTTTACAAAGTGTTTTTCAGGAATTGGCTTCCTTTTACAAGGCAGGTGATTATTATGAGTGTTTGGGCAACCACTTATTGCTGCTTTTTCACATGGTCTCCAAATACGGTCAGTCATTTGTCATGGATCGGAATAAGCCTGTCTGTGCTGACAGAGTGGAATTGAGGGTCCTTGGTTTACGTTTACCAGTCTTCCATTTAGTTCTGCCTCATTGGCACTTCACCTCGCTCTTTGATGGGAAATATTCTCTCCATAAACTTCAGTAAGATGTAATGGATTTCTGCAGTGGAAATATTGTTCAAGCTGCAAAACCAAATCACAGCAGGCACTTTGTCTGGGGACCCAGTGTCTTGCAAACAGCTATTTAAAATGCCAGTTGTACAAAGCCACAAACAGTCACAGTTAATTCCATTTACAGGAGTTTTATTTGTATGTATGAGAGAATCACACCACCAAACAGAGTCATTGTTCTGCCAAGACTACAGAGTTCATTATCTTTGTCACCTTGTGCTTTGGAGTAACCTTATTCACTGGGCTGTGTCTTTGGGTTAGAAAGTGGTGAAGCTGAGGTTGGGGAAGATGGAAATGGTATTCTCTGAAGCTATTGGGTGTGATATGGATCTGTCAAGACAGGGACAGCTGGCCCAGCTGCCTGAAGTCCAATAGTTATGTGGCCTAATTATTTTCACCTGTGAAACTTGGCTCGGGTTGGACCTAGGATGACACTGGGCTGGTCTCCTTGTGGAAGAGGAAGGCCGGATGGGGGAGTCTAGTGAAAGCCACATCAGAGTCCTCTGAGGCCTGATGGGCACACTGAGAGGCTCTGCAACTCCAGGCTGCCAATCAGTGGTCTTGGTTCCAGCTGTAGTAAGACTCATCTGGAGAGCTTTGACGAGCCTCATACCCAGGAAGCACCGTGGATCATCTGGATCAGAATCAGTGGGGGTAGAACCCAGCATCAGCAGCTATTAAAACTCCCAAGCTGGGGAGGGACAGGATGCAAATCACTGCTAGATCATGTTTTAAAATCCTGTTATTGCTATATAAATGAACTAATTTAAAATTCTTATTATTTTGTTTTTTGAGATAGGATCACACTATATATCTCAGGCTGGCCTCAAATTTATGATCCTCCTGCCTCAGCCTCCCAAATGCTAGAATTACCAGTGTGTTTCACCACACCATGCTGTAAAATTCTTATTATGTTGAACCACTTTGGATATCAGAGGAAGTGAAAATAATTTATAACATGGTCATTTGGAGTCACTTGTTTTGGAGATATTTCTATGATTAAGGGGTAGGTAGTTGTCAAGAAGAGAATTTGATGGGGAGCGTTCACTGGATTTAGACTTTAGACCAGTAGGGGAATGTGCTTATGACAGTCTTTGCTCTTATGGCAAACATGGTGGGGAAAACAGGGTCTGTGGACAGGGCTGGGAGTTGACTGGGTGTGGGCCAGGACCTGCCCAGGATGACATGTTTTCTGGTGGTGTCTGCAGGTCCTGTGGCTGTGATCAGCGGTGAAGAGGACTCAGCCAGCCCCCTGCACCACATCAACCATGGCATCACCACGCCCTCCTCTCTTGATGCCGGGCCTGACACAGTGGTCATTGGTATGACACGCATCCCAGTCATCGAGAACCCCCAGTACTTCCGTCAGGGACACAACTGTCACAAGCCAGACACGTGTAAGTAGCAGGATAGAATCCTGTCCCTTTTAGGGAGGGAAGGGCGGTGTGGCAACAGACCAGGTAGCTGGGGTTCTGGAATCTTCTGGGGTGACCTGCCACCTGCCAACCTCCCACTCTCTAAGAGACTCACCCTGATTATCTCAGAATTTTTAGGACATCCTGAGCAAGGAGGAGCCCTTGAGCAGAGTCCTTGGGACAGGGAGGGTCATGGGTCTCTCTGGTTCCCACTTTCTTCACCCAGAATCAGCGGGACCGTGGGTAGGGAGAGGTGCTCCCAGTGAGGTAGGACATGGAGCAGACTGGTCTACTCCGCCAACCTGGCCTAGGTAATTAGGGCACATGCCTCTGTCCAGACAGTAGCCCCTGGGACCATGAGAACCTCCACCCAGGCTTCCATGAGAAGCGGGGGTAATGAAGGGCTAGGTCTTTTTGAATGAAAACATCTCTCCAGCTACCCCTCCAGTGCCCCACTCTGTGAGAACTGGATCTCAGGCTAAGTGCCAGGAACCCTCAATTCCTCAAGGCAGACCAGAGGCGCAGGGCACCCATTTCCTCCTCATCTCTTACCTCTTCATCTCTCACCTCCTCTTGGTTCCAGCCCCTCTCTGCATTTGTGCTGAGACCAGCTAGGTTCCTTTAGCCCCCATAGCCTCAGTGACTCATCCCTGCATCTGGCAGGGTTCCTCCTTGCCATGTCCCCAGGTTCATTCTGGGTCCAGCAACACCAATGCACATCCCTTCCCTCCCCACTGCTCCTGCACCAGAGAACAACTCACTGCTTCAGAGAGACAGTTCAGTTTGGCCTTGGAGATCAGGGGTGCCACTGCCTGCTTGAAGGCTAGAAGGGAGCCTGGTGACCAGCTAGGTGTGAAGGCTTTGCTTTACATACAGGAATACCAGGGTCCTGGGAGGCTGTGAGTCCCCATTCTTTCCCCAGGTTGCCTGGTAACAGGTTCCCTTCCTGTCTTAGTTTCAGCATAGGACTAGGGAGCAGTGCTTTTGCTAATCCCAAGGGCTCAACGGTCTGCACGTGGGTCACTTTCTGTAAGCTCACAAAACTCTTACTAATCTTGTTGGCTCATCTTGTGGCAGAATGGGCCTCTTGCTACACTGTCAGCCTCTGCTTCCATTGCTTTGGCTCTAATTTTCAAGTGAGAAGGTTGCCACAGTGGGAAGGGCTGGGCTTTAGTCAGCATCAGGTCATCATTTAACTCCCATTTCGGCTGTTCTCCCAAGTGTACCTCAGTGTCCATCAGATGATCCCTGTTGGTATCAGAGGAAGGACACCTGGGTTCTGGGCCAGGCTTGGTAAAGAAGAAAGATAAATAGTGGGAAACAGCAAACGGGGCTGTGCTCTGGCTAGTGAGCTCCTTTCTCAGATCAGGCTCCTGCCTGGCCTGGCCTTTGTGTGCCTGGGAAAGGATCCCTGCCCTGGTGCTAGCATGGGTCCACGCCTAGTCTAAGATTGATGCAGAGTTTTCTAGGGCGCCATTGGTATTTGAACAAGTACCTCACCATTAGTGTATGAAATATAGAGTTGAGTCTGATTGTTTGACATAGCCCTTTTCTAAAAAGTCACTGCAAACAATGAATTCAAGAATGCTGGACCATTGTTCCTAGGGGAAATAGTGTTAGGTTCCTATGAGCCTCTGATCACATTTTATCAACCAATCAGAACATAATCTGGTTTTACATTGTATGTGAGTTTCTCTTTCAAGACACTGTACTTAGTGTGTACTGCGAACTCATAAGCATTGAACTCAGTGCCTGACAGCACTGCCCAAACACTTGCTCCTCTGTGAGACACATCACAGCCATCAGGTGCTAGAAACACCAGATGGAATTGCATAGACCGTGCTTGGAAGCCATCTTAAGGAGCCAAATCACTAACAAAAAGCACCAAAACAAATGTGAAAAACATGGTCCTGAATAGACCATGAGAAGAGTACTTGTTTAGAGAATGTAAACTGGAACAAGAATTTCAAAACAGTATGAATAAATACAATTTTCATTTGCCAATTAATATCTCTATCTATCTATCTATCTATCTATGTATCTATCTATCTATCTATCTATCTATCTTGTAGCAGGGATCGAACTCAGGACCTTGCACTTGCGAGGCAGGTGGCAGAACCACTAAGCTAAATTCCTGGCCCTAAAATCAATCTTTTTAAAGAAGATAGAGTGTTGCCTTGCCCATCTGGACTGGGAATGTGCTCACGGGGCCACTCATGCTTTTTGCCGCTCTGTGCAGCTCCCCATGTGACCCCCAGAGCACCTTAGGTGTTGCTTTTTGAGTTGCAAATTCATCTTAATGAGCAGGCAAATGCTCAGGGACAGATTCTGTGCATAATGAGCATCACCTGTATTCCTTTAGTGGCTGTACTGGGCTTCTGAAGCAAAATATGACCCGAGGCCCGGATTTGTATCCCATGGGGCTCCTTATTCCAGGTTTCAGTGCAGTTGCTGGATGGGACGAATCGGACACATTTGAGTTTCCTTTGGGCCACCAGAATCATTGTTTTCATGGTAACTTAGGAGGTGTGTAGAGGGCCATGAGACCCAGCAAGGGTCCTTGGGTGTCAGGATGCAGCACAGAGCTGAGAAGCCGGCACCGGGACACCAGGTGCAGGCAGAGCTTCCCTTCTAGTATCCTCTGGCTAGAAGTGTGTAGGGATCCAGACTTACTTTTCTGTAAGTGGGAGGAGGCCAGTGATGATGGAAGGGAAGCAGGCATTTGAATGAGTCTTGAAGGAGGAAGGAAGAAAACCGTGTTGATCAAAAGACAACCGTGTGGTATCTCTGGCTGTCACAACCTTCTAATAGTAGGCAAGGTATCCTTTTTAGGGCAGCGGAACATTTGCCCTATCAGCAGAAAGCACTGCTCTGGTTGTTCTCAGAAAGTGTGTGAGGTATGGCCATACTGCACAAGAGCGCCGTGCCCAGATCCGGCCAGTCCTCCCTCTGCTAGCTGTGGAAACTCACACAGACAGGGTCTGGATAGAATGCTCAGGTGTCCTTGGTGGATTTATCAGCTGAGTGGAGATGGCAGCAGGCCTCGCCTCTGCTTGTCAGTGCTTCATCAGCACGGGAAACTCATCCACCCGGGGATCTGTGGCGAGACACTGTCATGTATAATTAAAGCCACATATGCCTTGGCACATAAATGAGCAGGCGCTGCACACGAGGGCCGGGTCACCCCTTTGGAAGAATAGAAAGAATCAGGGGATTCAGAGGGGAAAAAGACTCATCTTGGAGGCTCCAAGCCTCTTCCATCTCATTCTCTTCCTTGTCTCCTTTTAATGTGTCACTTGGGAAGGAATTACGGGAATATAGAGCTACCTGACTTCAGACTTCGATTCCCCAGACCCCTCAGCTGGAGATTAAGCACAGAGCATTTTTCTTTCTTTACTCATATGTTTGTTTATCATGAAAGGTGACTAGTGTGATTAGGATGCAGGTCCTCTCTTTGCTTCTCACTTTCGGTCTGTAGTCTGGTGCATAGCATTTTCTGGCACCTGCCAGGCTGTGAGGGTGTTTAGAGATCACCTGGTACAACCCTTATCAGATGCTTGCATCCCCATACCTGTGTTCCAACACACACTCTGCATTTGACGTTGTCTTTGTTTTGCATTCATTCAGCCTTTCCAGGATTTCTGAAAGAGCTAAATTAATATGCACCTGCTTGGTCATGTGTACCCAAAACTAAGCCTAGTAGGGCCCTCTCCCTCATTTTTTATGTGATGCCCTTTGATTCCAGCAAAGGCATCAGGAGGTGGATACACCTCTCCTTGTTACACAACTCTGGGTCCTGGATACTGGGTTAGGTCCTAGAAAATGAGCCACCAAGGGACCACAGTGGGTTACTCAGGACAAGATAAAAGATGTGTCTAACAACATCGGGCCCTTGGTTACCTCTGTCACCTTTGTGACAGCTCTGGGCTGCAATAATGTGGTTCATAAGTTGGGCTGCACTGCTTGCCCCTATCTTGAAAGTCATACATTGGCTCTTTCCCTTCAGGCCATTTAGAAGACTCCTTGGCTCTCTTTAACAAAACCCCTTTCAGGCCAGGGATTTAGCTCAGTGGTTCCACCTCCTAGGTCTCAAGCGCAAGGACTGAGTTCGATCCCTGGTACCAAAATACAAAAACAAAAACAAATAGTCCCAAGCACTGGGGGAAAAAAGATAAAAGAAAATATTTGCTGGGCATGGTGGCACATGCCTGTAATCCCAGCACTCGGGAGGCTGAGGCAGGAGGATCGCTGTGAGTTCGAGCCCAGCATGCTACATAGGTTCGATCCCTGGTACCAAAATACAAAAACAAAAACAAATAGTCCCAAGCACTGGGGGAAAAAAGATAAAAGAAAATATTTGCTGGGCATGGTGGCACGCGCCTGTAATCCCAGCACTCGGGAGGCTGAGGCAGGAGGATCGCTGTGAGTTCGAGACCAGCATGGGCTACATAGTGAATTCCAGGTCAGTCTCAACTACATAGTGAGACCCTGTCTCAAAAAGCCAAAAAAACAAAAAAAAAACAAAAAAAACAAAAACAAAAAACAAACAAAACAAACCCCTTTCATAAAACTCATTCTCTTGGTTGAGAAGGCATAGGGCATCTGGGGGAGCTAAACGTGTCCCCTCTTTCCAGCCCTCCTTCCTTCTGTCCTCAGGGACTGGTGTCTGTTTTGTCCCCAGGGAATGTCTCCACCTTCCCAGACTCAGCCTCTCCTTGCCTGCATCACCCCATCGCGGTCATCCTGCTGCTCCTCCTGCCTGTCCGTTGCCTGTGTGCCCCTCTACTCAACACTAACCTCACTCAGTGACTTGACCTGTAGCTTCACCTCTGTCTGGTTCCATCTTCTAGGACTACCCTGTTGTTGGTCTCTCTGCAGAGCTGGACTGTGTGCCTTTGAGTCTTTTTTCTTTAACATTCAAGTTCGTTGTGCTGGGCTGGCTTTCCCCACCATCTGTTCTGTACATTCACTGTGAGGGTTTG